AATTCAATTACCTGTCAAATCTGGACAGGACGGTCTTTCAGGCCTTTTTTATTGTCATTATAGTATTACGGGGAACCCCGTAGCAGCCACATCCGTGCTCAAGCCTCCAACGAGGGAACATGCGGGAGCTACACCCACTAGCACGTGCGATACCAACTACAGCAGGTGCGCGATACGGGTCATGGGTCAGCCGGTAGCATCAGGACTGAGCTTCTTCGATGGGCCAGTCAGTGTGCCTCCATTCCGGTCCCCTCCCCCTATGAACATCAACAGTCTCTGCTCAATGCTACTTAGGGGGACCAACGACATATCTCGTTTTTCTTCTTTTTATCTTTCTTTTGATTTATATTTTATTTTTTTTCCAAAAATTCGAATTATCTTATTATCCACCTTCTTTTCTCATTTTTTGATTTATTTCGTTTTTTTATTTATTTATTTTGAAAAGTCGAATTTCTTTGCGGGATCCTTAAATCTGATTAGGAGTTAGTCATCTTGCTTTCGACACATATTTGGACCCCGTGGGGGTAATGAAGTGCTGCCGAAATTTTCTCATTTTACTTAGTCTTTCTTCTTAACGGCACACTTCGACCCCATGGGGGTAACGAAATGCTGTCAAAATTTTTGAAAAATCCAACACTTCATTTCTCTTCACCTCCTCATCTACTTATTTATTTATTATTTATTTTTTGGAAATTTTTAATTTGCGGCATTTTAAAACTTAGCGTGCTTATCTTGGTCTCTCCTTTCCCTTGGCACATTCTTGACCCCATGGGGGGTAGGGAAATGCTGTCGAAAATTTCTCTTTTCACATTTTGTTTACTTATTTTAAAATTATTTTTATTATTTAATTATTGATTTATTTATATTTTTCTCTCAAAATTTCACTGTCTATTTATTTTTCCTCCCGGCCCCCCCCCCCCCCCCCCCTTGCTATTTTTTTTTTTTTTTTTTTTTACCGGTACCCTACCCTAACAGCTCAAACCCCGGTTAGGGTTTTCTTAGGATGTTTCTAGGGTTTAGAGTTCTCTTAAACCTCCCTACTCCCCCTTTTCATTCGGGCACCCTGGACCCGAACCACCCTTCCCCCTTTGCGGGCGCCCGCGCTCAACTCACTAGCGCTGACCGTCGCTTTCTACCGCGGACCCCCCTCTACACCCTCCGCTCACACGGACCTCCTCTGACCCCCTCCAGTCCTACCCGTCACCTCCCCATGGCAGACGGCGTGTCACAAGCCGTGGACGAGGCGACAACCTCGGCACCGGGCTCCATCCCCGTGTCGGCGGACCAAGGCCATCAGCCCCACGGGGATCTACACACCCTCCTCACCTCCCTCCTCGTGCCCATCAAGGCGCAACTGGCGACCCTTGCGCCTCTACAAGCGCAAGTGGCGACTCTTGCCGCTGGCATGAGGCAACTCCAGGATGTTGCCCGTCCTTCCTCTCCCAACTCTCTCTCTTCCCCTTGCTCCTAGTTCGGGTCCCCCATCCTCCGACATGGTGGCCACTGCGGAGCTTCCTCCTCCGCTGCCCCCGACCCGACCATCCTAGTGACCGTCCAAGCTCCTAGCGTGATGGCCGCTACAGGTCAGACCCTCTCTCACTCTATGAGCGCACCCACCCAGATTCCGGTCACTATGGCCACGAGACCACAACCTGCTGCCGTGGTCTCAGCTTCTCCGGGTGCCCCGCTTCTCCCTCCCCTTCGCATGACCGTCGCGCCATCTGGCTCTCCCCCCTATGGGATGCTCCGCGCCGCTCGTGCATCTACTTCCCCCACTCCTCCTATTACTGTCATCTCGAGGACGAGCTTGCCCAGATCCGGGCCGACGTTGCCCTCTTACGCCTTCAACCACCCCTACCATCACAGGTGCCTGCGCCTTCGGGCGCACCCTCTACTTCCTCTACCCTTCCTTCCCTGCCGACTCGCTTCCCTCGCTTTGCACCCCCTCCACCCCTATCCTACCTTCTTCCTATTCCCTCGGTTGTTACGACCTCTTCTACCGCAGCTCCCTCACAGTCTGCCGCTGTTGCCCCCACCACTCCCCCATGTGGCCCGGACGTACAGTCAGCTGCGCCCCTTTCTCCAGGACCTGCACCAACGTACTTAGCCGTAGCGTAGGCCTCTGCTCCTCGGTCTTCACGCCGCCAGACCGGTGGTGCACCACTTGTCCGCTTGACAGACATTGCCTTGTATGATGGTACAGGGATACACGTGTCTCGGTGGCTACAGTCTGCCACACGCGCGCTTCAGCTTATGGGCGCCCCACCCGACACTTGAGTGGCTCACCTCTCCCTGCGCCTGTATGGCGGTCCTTTCGACGCTTGGGAGGATTTCTACACCCACTCGCTTCGTGAGGGTCGGATCCCAACCTTCATGGACTTTCAGGCGTTCCTCGAGGATCGCTTCAGAGCCCGACATGACGTGACTG